TTCGCCTTATCGGTCGCTATCTTCGAAGTAAGGTCGTCTACGACCTTATCTAGCCTATCTACCGAGGACGTTATATAAGGACGACTAAGCCGTATATAGTTTGTATACGATATTAAGGAAAAGTCGGCGATAAAGACGTACTCGGAACGATCGTGTTTAGTATAGCGATTATAGCGTGTTTCTAATACGAAAGGATTCTAGGTTATTCTTACGAAACAAACGAGTCGAGATTATTTGCTAGAGGAAGCTATCGAATAACGAAACGCATCTATAAGCGGGACCCCGCGATACTAAATACTAGGAGACTCCAATATACGCTAAGCCTATATTAGACGCCTACGCCGGAATAACAACTAATACTCGGTTATAAGAATATAATAGCTATAGAGCGGGATAATATTACGGACATTAGGTCCGTAACAAATAGACTAACTAATTAAGTTTAGGGAGCTAATAAGCTAGGTCTATAGGGGCGGCTATAAGAGAGTTACGTAACACCGCTTACCTAGACCCTTAAGTAAGTAGCCTACTTACCCTTACTCTCGAGTAACCGTAAGGAAGAGTGCTTACGATTACCGCTAGGTAATCGTAACTATATACGAATCTCCTATATATATAGAGTAGACATTTCTTATATAGGTAGTTCGTATTTAACCTAAGTTACTAACCCGCCAAAAGGTCAACCCTTAGAGTAGTTACTTACCCGACCTATCGCTTAGAACTCACTCGTCTAACGAGCTCTAACCCCCTTGTACCGCAGGTGTATAATATTGCTCTTCGAGTTATCCCTACCCTCTTCTTTACTATAACCCCTTCGTCGTAGCCGTATCCCCTACGTAACTACGCCGGAAACCTTACACTACCTAAGCTATCTATACTAACTCTTTAACCTAAAGCCTACTAAATAACGATACTAAGTTATATAAAGCGCTTCGAGGAAGTTATCTTTATGTCTCCGAAGGCTGTACGGTCCTACAATGCGACCTAACCAATCGCATCAAGAGCGCCTTATCTCCTCAGCTACATAACGTAACTCATGGTCTACCGAGGCACGTTGGTAAGCGAGGCACTTTTCCCTTCCTCGAGACTTCACACTGATCTTATGGCTGCTACAACGATACAATCAGAGTTATGCTCACTAGATACGTTCTACTTTATATCACTGGAACTTATCCGACAGAAAATCAACATACTATCTCGAAAAAGCGAGTCCCTACTCAGTATCCGAAGAGCTCACGGGTCCGTACCGCGCAAAGCGTCGATCGGTACCACGACGCGTGTAGAGAGGAATCGCACTGCACGCGCCGATGTTGACTATCGCGCGCTCCATCGCGGTTCTCTAGCCACGCATAGGCGTACGTTGGGAACCGCATCATCAGCGACAAGACCAACAGCTCCTCCAATAGTAGTATGGGACGCAGTAATGAAAGCGGTTGTAGCGATAGAACATGGTGAAAGGCATATGGCTAGGGTCATTTAGACCCTTTATACCGTGTTGGACGAAGATTGGAGTCCGGACGGGCAGGATCTGGAAGACCTTGTCTGCAATATGATATGGGAAAAGCGTAGCTGAAGCAAGGTCTGTATACCCTGTCTCCCCTCCCATCGGTGCTTTCGAAAAGCTGTTCCAGCTCTCATGAAACCTTCGCTGAGTTCAATGTTCTCGATATCCTGTTGACCCACCCTTTTCACCACTCCTCTTCTACATCGCTCGAGATATCCATAGGAGCTGCGGGTTCCATCAATCTCATCACCACTCCCTGCTCTGCAAGGGTCCCCCAGATTTCAATACCGTCGTATACTTGTCCCAAAGTCTTTCTGGGAAGCGGTGAAGTGAACAGCCGCCCTGATGAGCTCTGTGACTCAGTCGCCCATGCCTCCGGTATCTGCAACCATGTAAGCGGTGGCATTCTGATTGAAAGAATGGTTCGATAGTAAAGAAGGTCCATGTAGAACCCTGGCGGGCATCACAGGGCAAGTGACCGCCAGCACCACATGAGAGGCGGACTCGGGTTGTGGCAGGCGGTCTGGCAAGAAAGCATCTCAAGCTAGTTTCATCGGCACGCCAGATTAGGGACGTCGGCGCTGCTGTTAGATTGTATTTAGCTCTTATTCAACTGGGCAGACGCGGGTGCTGCCTGGCGAAATCGTGTCTGCGAGACGCGCCCATATACTACGGGACAGTTCGAGAAGAGCGCTGCTAGGAGTTGCACATACTTAAATCGGACTGCAAGCTGTGATCGAAGTATGGCGTGCGCGCCCTACCACACCGTCATTTTCTGATGACTGGCCCTTATCTATATCTATTCGTGCCCCTGTCCACTCTGGTGCTGGCTGAGATACATGCGCTCTGTCCAGATGCGTGCGTACATGTTGTACAATGTGGGCCAGCAGAGACTGTCGCGGCTCTGGCAGCGTTGATGCCAAACCACTGCGTTGTACAGCTCAGCACGGATTATGATGGCTGTCAATTCACTTGATGCTCTGTTGTTACAGGTGGAGCGGCCTTTAATATTGGTATCATAGGACGAATCCAACATTCATGGATATAGGATTGATGCCGCGGTCAGACCCTCTGCCAGGAGCAGCTGTGACACGACTTCATGTAACGCGGGCTAGCCGAAATGTTGCTGGAGCGCCTGTTCGCTGTCGAACGCTCGGTCACATGGCTCGTAATTATTCGGTGGGGCGTGGGCGGGCGAATCCCCGGAGTGTTGCTGCAGCGCTTGTTCGCTATTGAACGTACGGTCGCACCGCTCGCACGAAGGCAACGGCGTTCTGTTCGATGTTAGCCGCCGAGGGAACAGACATGATGTCTCTGTCGAATATACCAAGGACGGGGCGAGCACACGTCGTTACACAAGGCTCGTCCACCTAGTCGTGCGTAGTTAAAATGGAAGGCTTTCAATGCTGAGGCAATTCATAACGCTCAATCTGGTAGCATTCATACAGGTGCGAGTTGTGCTCGTCAGCAAACAGCACGAGAGCTCGCTTAGTCACGATGGTTGTTGCAGCTACAACCCGGGAGCTTTTCAGCCAATCAACTTCCACTGGCATGTTGAAACGAGCACGCCGCAAGCTAGGCGACGACAGCATGGATCGAAGTCTCACAGTCAACACGAAAAACCCTTCTCCTTTTTCACCTCAAGGCGCATCTACTGCTCCTGAGCAAATACCCACGTTGACTGATCGTGATAGTTGTAACTTAGGCCTGTACGGCTGAGTCTCCACTTCTGCGTGATCGAGATGCCGCTCGATCTTCCAGGTGACATGCTCACGCACTCTTCCACGTCTCTCGAAGCAGCTATCACAGACCTGAACGAAGATGGCCGGAGTAAGGGCAGGGTTTCACGCGGAATCTCTCTTTAACGCCCAATGTTACTCTTGACCATGAGAAGAGAAGAAGCATTGGAGCTGAAAACAATGGCTGTCGGATGGGGCGCATCTGATGCTCGGTGCTCATATTCATTGGCCATAACCATGTGCTCTGAAGCATTGCTCGCTCGCTAAAACGTTCAGAAGACGAGGAGATCAAAGATAGCAAGCTTATAAGGCTAGTGATGGGTGGTTGCTGCGGTGGTTGTGCTTGTTGTACCATGTGGGATTCAAGAGCTTATTGCGCACTTACGTCGCAAAATATTCGTCATCGCTTGCAGCTGCTTCTCATACAGCTCGAATGACTGCCTTTCAGGTGAGGATGGCATTGACTCGTTGTCGCTCTCACTATCCGAACCGTCGTCCATGAGCTCTGGCGGCGAACGCCTCCAGCTCGGTACACGCATGAGAGCGTGTTGCTCATCATTCTCCTCATCCTTGTCAGAGCTCTCGTCGAGCTCGACAACGGAGGACTTAGCTTCGAATACCGGAGATGCGAGCGTGCGGGCCGGAATCTTGTAGATGACGTCTGCATCTTCGTCGTAAGCAGAGCCAGCGTCGCTCTCGTCGTCGCATTCCTCCTCTTCTTGCTTTGGGATGGTTTCTTCCAAATGCATATAATTCGGTCGCTCGGTCTTGGGTATTTCCTCGACAGATTGCGTAAACGAAGCATCCTGCTGGCCCTCGGCGACTGGGAGATCGAGCATTAGGGCTTCGAGAAGATCGGCGTGGCCGACCAGCAACCTCAGGTCGTGGTCTTTACGGTTGGCCTCACGGTCTAGCTTTGACCTGGCTATCGAGGCGACGTTGTAGGTTTGCTGTAGAGACATCTTCTGCTTCACTGCTGGTGGGAAAATCGGTGAGGTCTGATAAGTAACCCTTGCTGCGACGGGCTCGATGTGAGACTGGAGCCTAAGGTGGGAAGGCATGGTTGTTATATTCGTCGACAACACATCAAGCTATGGATATGACAGAATCGTGCTGCCCGAGTCTCACCAGCCAATGTGAGGTGTGGGTGTTGTAGCCTTAAAATCTTGTCTCAATGGGCCAAAGTCGCTGTCACTTATGTTGATAGTCAAGTATTTTTTGCGGTGAGTTCTTGCTTGATTGTCTGATTAAGATCGAGATAGAACGAAAAGATCAGTCGAGTATCGCGGAGCGGTAAGGCATTTTTGTTCATCGCCCTGCGCCCACCAGTTGAACCCGTAATCTGCAAGCTCCGCAGCTGACGGCACTTCTGTACACTACCTACAGATGGTTACCCAACCACTTCTCACTTCCGTCTTGCTAACGACCGATCATCAGTCCGTGTCCCTAGACAAGATGTCGCCCCGTGGAAGGTGATGCGGAACGGCCAGGGACGGTGGCAGGATCTTGTCATAGCGACAAACGAGGTTACAGTACGCAGCAAGCATCTATCGTCAGCCTGCATCATCCGAAGCAGCCGCACGAGACAATCTAGTTTCACTTTCGTCGGCGGATGATGCTGAGAGCAATACATACGTTTGTTATTGCATGGAAAAGCCAGCTGCATGATTAGCCCGCTCATAAACGATTTTCTGAACGATCTCATGTGAAGTCGCAACCAGGTCGCAACCAGGGTGGAAGGTCGCACGATGAGATTCCGCTAATTTCCGGGCGGAAGCTACGGCTGGAGCTGGTGTCCGGCACGCTACGGCACGGTAACAGTTCGATAGGAGCTAGAAATCCACGATAGAACCCTCGTTTGGTCCACCCTAGTCCTCGGAGCGCGATTACAGATTCCTCCGGCATTATAATGTACACCTTCCGCTCTTACCTTACTATGTCGAGGCGGGGCGATTAGGACATAGCACTATGCAGATTATATGCTTATATGCTTATAAAACGTAGGAGAGACGACCGTTTGACGTATACTTAGCCTTATACTATTAGTATAGCTAAGGATCCCATATCGGCTTGTATGCTCTTTAAGTCCTCCTCTTCTTTAGCCCCTTACTTTTATAGTACTAATCTTATCGTCTAACTATTATAGCCTCGATTTTTCGATAATAGACGTCTATAAGCGCTACGCAGATATTGGCGAAAAGACACCTTCGTAGATCTTTATAAAGTAGATGTCGGTATAACACAAGCCGTCTCGTTTGCAAAACACCTAGTCTTTACTATCGGCTATTAATATATCGCTAGCACTAGTGTCGCTAATAGCGAAAATAGGATAGCTAATCCGATCGATCTCGTAAGACTCTATAGATATAATCCGGAAACGAGTCTATATAGCTTATAATCGTTATCGTCTAAAAAAGTCGAAATACGATAGCACCTCGCCCTATACTCGATATAGGGCTAATAACGCTATCTACGTCCTTAGGTAAGTAATAGCGTAAGTAATATAATTATTAGCTACCTATTAACTTAAAGATATAGCGTTCGAAAGAAGTTATATAATAAAGTATATCCTAAGGGTTATATTAAGATACTTAAGTAGCAATAGAACTAGCTCGTATCCGTACTTAATATTATATATTAGCGTCTATAAGTAGTATAAGTATAGCCTAGTGCTATATTGCCTAAAACGAATAGCTATCCCCTAACCTACGATATGCTTACTACTCTCGATCTACTCGAAATAAAGTAGGATAGAAGTAGTATAAGGTATCGTACTATATCTATAGTATCCTATACGTAACCGTAGGGGGACTATAGGCTATCTATAGTTAGCCTAGGTTACGTAATATATTCTAGCTCCCTATAGGGGGTCCGTAGGGTATCTAATCCGGACACCTAATAGAATATATTAGCTCCCGTATTAAGTAAGGGGGCTAAGGAGAGGAGATAGAGGAAAAGGAAGTAGAGACTTCCTTCTCTTCTACTCCTTAAGTTTACTATCGTT